CCTGGCGCCACCTGGCCACCGACTGGAGCCAGTTCTTCAGGGAGAAGTTCTTCTCCAATGCTTCAGCCATCAAAGCTCTCAAGAAGTCTGCCTCCTCCATGGCCATCGCCGCCTGCGACACTTCCGCCGCCAGGGATGAGCACACCACTCGCTTCAGCAGACCTGAGTGAAAAGCCAGGATGTTGACCGGAGCTTCTCCCTCTAGAACTTTAGGGTTGGCCACCAGAAGCACCATGCCACCTTGAGATCGACCCTTGGGCATTCCCCCAAATGAAGCGTCAGACACCGCCAGCACCATCATGTCGTTGATGTGGCAACCCAAATGACGAAACACTTGATAGTGGGGTTCCCGAGCTCTCTCCACCAAGATCTTCAGCTCTGAGAGGGCCGTGGGGTCATTGGTGCCATTCAGTTGCTGAATCCTCGAACAACCATACAGCAAATCGGCCCTCACCTGCCTCGCCAACCAGCTCAGCTGGCCAATGATGGTCCCAATCCAGGCCTTCTCGTTGGGCATCAGCGGCTGTCGGCTCTGTGGATTGGACCTCGATGGTGGATCTTTAACCTTCTCCGAGTACTCGTTCATCTGCAAGGTGATCGAGTAGTCGTCGTTCTGCCTCTCCCACCGGCCACAGAACTTGGTATCCTCCTTCGGGTGCACCCAATCACCAAAAGTAAATAGGGACTTGAGCTGCGGCCACAACTTCTGTTCAGCTTCTTCGCTTCCAATGAATCGGACATCATCCACATGGACGGCTAGCATCGCCCAAACTTGCCCTTCATGGTCATAGAAGGCGAACACTCCTGGTGCCAATCGAAGCTCCTTGCCGCCAATGCTCATGATGTCCCTGCTGAATCGCTGGTACCAAAGTCGAGGACTCTCAGCTAACCCAAATCCAGCCTTCTTCATACGAAAGAGGTCAGTACGTGCCCCAGGAGGCACTTTGGTCAACAGGAACTGACGCACAAACAGCGGGTAGTTCTTGGGTGACTGCACAAACACTCTCCGGCCCTCTGGAAGATAGTCACCCTGCAAGAACGCAGCGGAGATGTCGGCAAAGTACATGCGCCAACGAAATTGAGCTGCAACAAAGCAAAGGAAGTTGTGGGCAACCAGACTAGCTGTCGGAGCATCGGTCGCATAGTCACCCGCCCTTTGATCTCGATGTCCAGCAATAACCAACCGCGCTTTAAGCTTTGCCAGAGCCAAGTCTTCATCCGTAGGATGTATATTCTTGGGATCAGCCTTGTTCACGAGAACAAATCGACTTGGCAGCACTTCGGATGCATGCACTTCCTCTTCTGGCATCACCGGAGCGAGGGCATCATGATCGAAGTATATCTGCAAAGCGTCGATAATCGGTTGCTCGAATGCCTTCTGCCAAGCCATTGACAGCTGTGTCCATTGCAACTCCAGCCGCATCTTGCCAGTCTCTGGTTTCTCCACATCAACTTCCGGAACCAGTAGTAGTTGCTCAGCTGTGCACAACTCAGTCAAACCACGATGGTCGGGATGAGCGGTTGGAGCAGCTAGGGCAGCAGTTGTCTGAAAAGCCTGAAAACACTCTAGCGCATCCAAGGCTACCTCCAACCGATGAGATTGGTCAGCATGTAGTCCATCGGCCGGGTCAATAAAGTTGGCCGCCTGCCCTTCAGCCACCAACACCTGGTAAGCGGCATTGGCTTTGAGATGCCTCCTCCACAGATCTTCCGCAGCAGCTCTTCCTTGATTCCATGTGGCCAAGATAGGGTGGTCCTTCACGGGATCCATAGTGACGAACCGAGTGACGCCTCGCCACAATTGATTCATGTGCACCGAAGCGTTCCAGCCCTTCCAGAAGACGTTGTCCACCAAGTACTCCTTGGACGCCTGGGGCGACAGGTACCCCACCTGAGTCGCCCGTAGCCCTTGTAGTCCAGGTACTTCAGAAGGAATACCTTGTGCATCTTGTGGGTGGTCTTCATCAGGGATCACGCCCGGCACAAAGAGGTACTGCCGAGGTTGAAGGTGCACTCGCCATAGCTCTCGCTGCGAAGGCGCATGCAGCCAATAATCAGACTCACCGCTCAACCGTAGCAACATCTCACCCGGCAGATTCGCTTCCATGTAGTCACTGAGTTCGTCTAACACTTGAGCACGTCCAGGTGCCTTCTTGTAGACCTCGATGATCTCGGTGCGAGTGAGAGGTCGTCTAAGCCTCCCGGGAACATCTCCCAGCATGCGCCACTTGGCCACAGGTACTTTGGCACGAATGCATGGTGTTGGGTTCCTCCGCCGGATACCGATCCTCTTCTCACCGTCAGGTCGCCAGTCAGCCTCCAGCACATCATAGTCAACATTGATCGGTGGGCACTCCCTCAACATGTCCACCACGTACATATCATGTGAGACTTCATGGGGGTTGCCCTGATCATCATAGACATTGGGCACCGCAAACATGTCAACCTCAATGAATGGCGAGTCCATTGACGGTGAAGTCTCATTGGTATCTTCCGAAAATGGGCTATAGCATGGGTCTGCACTGTTCGGCACCTCCGACTCGCCCCCTTCTTCAACGAGCTCACAATCCCGGACAGGCACGACCACCATGGCCTCCTTTTTCTCAAGCTTCGTCTTCATCTTCTTCAGGTGCTCTTGGGTCGACTTAAAGGCAGTCTCATAGAAGTCTCGCTTCTGCCTGACTGATGTCAAAGCTGGATCAACTGCCGAAGACGAAGCCACCGTAGCCCTGATAGACGAAGCTTCCGCATCCAGCTTGCGCCTCGTCGATCTATCAGCTTGCCCTTGATCTGCTTTCTGTTTGATCTTCTGCGCCACCGAAATGGGTATGTCATCTAACACGGAAGTGGCACGGTGGAGATCCTCTACTCGCACGGGCTTGTCCTCAACCGGTTGTTCATCATCACTGAACTCCATAGGCGGGTACCGGGGATCAGGATCGACAGGTGCTGGCAAGTGTACCGGCTCATCTTCAGGCACAATGTCTGCATTCACTCTGCCCGACTGGAGTTTCTTCATCAGGTCTTATGTAGAGCTTCTTTGGTCACCTTTGTGGACTCAATCTCATCTCCAGTTGCCAATCGAACATGTTCTAGAGGTAGTCCACGAAGCTTGTGCCTGTATCTAATCCACACCCGCTTGATCGCCCCGTCGAACCTTTCCACCGCCACCACCACGGCTGGTCCCACCCAGCTACTCCCCATGTCATCTTCTTGGGATCCACCCCATTGGGATTGGCTCCATCCACCATCAGCCCAGTAGACATGTCGAGACTCCCTTGAGGTGTCTTGAATGTATTGCCAAGAGTCATTCGAACTGCTCCTCCGTGATGTTCCATCGCCACTCACCGAAGAGCTCGGAGATGACCAGTTGTCATACTTGGGCTCATAGTTCTCCTGTCCGCGCTGTCAAGGGTCTCCACCCAGCCACGGATCGGACTCCTGGCTCATCGCCTCTCCACTGGAAGCTCCTTCATCACCTCTCTCGCCACTTCGTTCCCCGCTCGCTGTCCTCCACGATCTCGGGCTTCCCGACTCAGCCTGAGCATTGCGGAGTGGCGTGCTCACCATCCTCGAGGTTCGATGAAGCCCCCTCCGATGCCGGTGGAGGAATACCGGCATCGGCAACTCCTCCGTCGAAGGCGATGAAGTCGAATCCACCTCATCAGCCGCGGCCCCAAGAGCGTCAGCCTCCATGGCTCAAGCCTACAAAAACGGCCACCAGTCTAACTAGCGGGCTCCGCTACCACTGAAAAGACACAACGGTCTACTCCTTTTTCCTACCGCTCTCGGGCCGCGACCGGCTGTCGGAATAACAATTATATATATATATTATATTATATTATATATATATGTGTGTGTGTGTGTGTTGAGTTCTTTCTACTTTGAGCTCAGTCAGCTTCCAGGGGATGAGAGCGGCTCACTCCGCGTGACCGTGCCCGTCCCAACTCCGTCCGAGCTCGTCTGGACGGACGCACGGGAACGAACGGAAACTCCGGGCGAAGGGAGTGGGGAAGAACGACCGTTCCCCGACCCGAAAAGGGAATTCATGCAACACCGAAAGATAGGGATCCATGCATTGTTCACACACTCCAAAAAGCTTTCGATCCATTTTTGTCTCCAACAATTCAACCCTTCTTCACAGGCATGGTTGCCACTCTTAGGGTCAGAGACCCAAACCAAAGCAGAGTCCATGCTGCCCAGGCACATAGAAGCACTCCAGGCATAAAGTTCCCACCCGCACGCTATTGTGGCTGCATGCCATGGCTTGACGTTAGGAAGTCTTGATCTATGTCCCTTTTTGTTGGTATCCAGATGTATCCAGTATCCTTGCATCCAACTGCATTCAGTTCAAACTATAAGCTTCTGCAAAGATTCAGCATGCAAATATATAATGTTTGCTTATATATGTTTGCTTCATACCCCTGCGCATGCACACTGGTTTTGTTTATAAAGAGTGGTTCCCAGCTTCAAATTAGGGTATCAGTGTTCCAGGTGTCACTGCCACAGTTTTGCACTCTTGGCCGTCCTTACCCCCTTACCACGGCGATCCGCACTGAGTTTGCGGCAAGGGCTAACCGGAAATGACAAACTGTATATATCTATTCCAAACATATATTTTTCGGTACGTAACGTAGTTGGTAGAAAGTAGAAAAGGAAAATAAATCCCACTATACGTGCTATGGTTTGCAAGGCATCCATGATAGCTAAGAGGAGGAGTCGTCCACTTCTCAATCTGAAATGCCCTCGTCGTTGGCAGCCAACGTCCGGGTCTGTGTGTTACGGCACGTCCGAGCCGTCCGCTCGGCTCGTGGAGGAGCAACGTCGGAGGCACCCAGATCACCAACGTCCAATCACTTAAGTTCCTCTGTGATCATAAAACTCTTGGAGCACCTGGAGGCTCCAACATGTCATTAGACTGTCACGATAGAATGTAGTACCCCTTATCAGAACCCCCAGGCTAAGTGAGAACTCACGGTAGGACCTGCTGAGGTTCTGACTTCTCTTGACCATCCAAGAGCTGCACCCTTGCAGTCGCAGGGTTGTTAGGGACAAACACCGACAGTGACAACAGCACATTTCGTGCCAAACATCTTGTGCAGGATTCTGTGGCATTTGAGCCGAGTTGTGAGGAGGGATAGCTTGAGTCAAACTCATGTCAACACCTCTCGATCTACAATAGATAGGGCTACACTTCCGGAAGGACGTGAATGGCAGAACTATAGTTTTTTTGGGTCTCAACGAGTATTCAGTGACCGGGCCCCGCCTTCCCTGCTCGACCAGGGCAGCCTTGCTAGCTGCCTCCTCCTGAAAAGCTTGTGAAGCAATAGGAGCCTTCATGAACCTTTAGGGTTCAATCCCTGAAATCTACAGTAGTGTGGTTTCAGAGTAGATGGCATTGGCACCCAAAAAGGTCTTAGAGTCTTAGACAGATGCGGGTCCTTGTGAACCACCCAACTTACTCTGAAACCACCGTACTACAGTCTGCAGTCTGGAGTTAATTTCGGACGACTGCGGCCCAAAACGTGTGGGATGGAGATCCGACCGTTTCGAAGAGGGGAGCTTTAGATCTCTCAAAGCTGACCCTGAAAGCCCACCGAGTTCCTAACATGACAATCAAATCTGCTTGGTTCCTGGCATCTTGGGCACTTTAGGCACTCTAAAGTGAAAGCTGAACATAGCTGAACAAGCATCTTCATCTCCCAACCGCTGCTCGCTCCTTCGCGGTCTCCAGCTGCCGCCGGAGGCCCGAGATCTCTCGGCCTGGGAAGCGCATCCGCCGTGGGTTCCGCGCGCGGTCGAGATGGGACGGATGAGAGGGTCGTTTTGGGGGGTGAAACAAAATGAGACACGTAGAAGACACGTTGACTCACTTGGACTTAGACTTGACTCACCAATTGTATGGGGCCAGTTCTCATCTTTTGGAATGTCAATATAACTGATATGTCAATCCTACGTTGAAGACAAGAAAGGAACCACGGCGATCACTAGATGGCCCACGCATGCCCAAACCACAAAGAAAATTCTATTGGGCAAACCAAATCCATTCTTGTTCATCTTGCTCCATGTTCTTCCATTCAACCTCTTTAATGTTCTTGAATGGAAAGGATAACAATCCTTTCAGGTGCCACATCAGGGGGCCAGGTCCAGGTCGTCCTATTGCAGGTCCAGGTCTAGTTCTAGTTCACCCCACGTCCGGATTTTTTGAAGGTCATAGTGTGGGCTGCGCTTTTCCTGTTTGATGTGGTGTTGCAAACATCTTTGGTCCAGGGTCTCTCAAAGCCTCAGGTTGAAATTCAACAAAGTCTTGGCACCTATAACGTTCAAAAAGAAACACAAGGACCAACATGGTACCATGATAAGATACATACATACCAGAACAAAAACCACAGTACCCACGGTTCAATCAAACATGGTGTCCAAAACAAATGGTCACCAACGACGCCTTGAAAACCCGAACGAGGTCCCATCGTGCTCTCCTGAGATGTCCGGGCGTTGGGACTCCAGCTTCAATCGAAACTCGTCCAGCACGCGCAAGGACTGCGAGGTTGAGTTTGTCACCGGGATGCTGCGCGCGGATTCTGCGCGCGGATTCTGCGCAGAATCTGTCGCAGTCTGATCTTCGATCTCGCTGGCCCCGTCGAAAGGGAACTGGTCACGGTCGGGACCGCGGCGTTCGGTGATGTTTGGCCCCCAATCAATCGTTTGGAGGATTGAACCCCACAGCTCGTGAGGTTGACTTAAATTAGGTCTAATTTCCTTCCACTCCGGGGGCAAGCGCCATCTTGAGAAACCCCTAAGCAGGACTTTTCGGACCATGCCTCATCGTCCTCCAGGTTCTTCTTCAAGTCCTTCACCTGTCACTTCAAGGGGTGGTCGGTCACCAAGGAGACAAGTTTGGAAAACCGGTCGCTCCTCGAGTGTCAGCTCTTGGTCAGAGCTGTTTCTCAGGGATGTTTTCTGGCACTTTCAACTCGAAGAAATATCCCAAAACGAGGAATGGTATTGGTTTGCTGGTCTTCAATCAGCTCTGCAAGGCTCTTCACCTCTTTCTGCTTGCTGTTTCACCACACCACTGGCAACATGCCACATTTCGCCACTACTTCGGACCCCCACGCTCCAAACTGGTCAGAGAGGGCCACCATCTTCTGAAGTTGACCGTAGCACTACTATAGGGACTGATAATGTGTACGTGCATATACAATCAGAACCAACCATAATTATGTGTATTTATGTATTACATTGAATTGATCTGAATATATATATATATAAGATGTATCCTACCTTTTTTGGACAGGGTCCCTACCATCAGTTCGTTCGCGGATGCTCGCAGCCCAGGCTTGCGCCTTTGCTTTCATCTGTTCCACCTGAGCCTCTGCGGCCATGCGCCGCCGAGCTTCTGCCAGCTCTGCCTGAGAAGTCTCGACATGTTTGGACCATCTGAAGTTTGTGAACGAACACGAAGGCATGGAGAAACCAGAATAGGTCAACAGGCGCAGGAGCATCTGATTCAGCAAACCAAACACTTCGAACTCGACTTTAACACCTGTATGCATGGAAGAGTGACTGGCATCCTTGAGGTATGGAAGAGTGTTGTCAAGGGTAGACCATCCTGACGTCCCGCTGGTCTGTCGAAACAGGGTTTGTCGAAGGCTACTCTGACTCCTCCCACCGGGTTTGTATGCGGCTGGATCATAGAAGCCCTGGATGTTTTGTGGTGTCCATTGCTGGTGGAACTCCTGCAAAACCTCACATCAACCCGTTGTTTTGTGGACTTCAGCAGAATGATCGTCAAAGGGACATTCACTTTCACTTGTAAGAGGTGCAATGAGCCGGCCCCTCTATGGACACCATCTAACACCTGAAGCCTCGTGATCGCCATGCTCCTCGCCTGCTCGGCTGCTTGCAGGGCTTTCCGTTCAACTGCACGAGACGCCTGGACGGCGCCACGAGACGGTTGAAATCGTAAGGCTAGTGACTGCTCGTGCCCCGCCAAAGGGCCCTTATATATACATATACCTTCTTTTCTGTTCCTCTCTTGGCTGATTGCTGGCTTGTCCTCTTGGCCCTTTACATTGTAATCCTGCAGGGCGGAAAGCCAGATACCGTCCCGCGGTGCCTCCACCTCAGCGCGCTGGAGGCGCTCCTCCTGGAGCGCCGCCTGCGCAATAGAAGCTTCTGGGATCGGATTCCGGTTCTGGATACATCGAGGCAAAACATGTCAATTGGAAGCAAAACTGGCGGTATTTGCTTCCCTTGACATGTTCAACCTCCTTGGATCGGTGTTTCCTCTCTATTCCTTTCTACCAATTGGTTTTTGTTGTCTCCAAATGTCTCCACTTCCCTGGAGAATGGGAGATGCCCATTCAAACCCGCAGTCTGCGATTCCAAAAGGTTCCTCTGACAAATGGTGGGGCGGCTATGGGATGGCGGGTTTGTTCTAACATTGTTTCCCTGACCATGTGGCTTCTAAGCGACCACCTGCGAATTGGCTTACCGTAACTCTGATTGTCAAAGTGGGCCTGTTTGGTCAGCTCAATCCAATCTCCTCTCAGAAACCCGATGCAACGGAATCTTCGGTTTCAAGTTTCAAGACTCCATGATCCAGCATACAAGCAGGGAAGCAGAAGGAGCCCGCCCCCGTAGATGAAGGAAGTGAGTGGCAAACTCAATGTCTGCTTCTTCATGGAATAGGAGTGTTGACTAAAGCCCATTGGTTTGTGGCTCACCACTCCTCCTTTGCTTCAACATCTTGATGTCTGTCCACCCTTCAACCAGCCTGGATTTGTCTCCCGATGCATTTTTCCTTCGATTCTGACCATTTCAAGGGGACACCCTAACACCTGTTAATGCTCAGGGAGTGCCACCTGTGCCTGGGCTTCTTGCAGGGCCTTTTCCCGCTGCCGGTGCAGGTGCCTCTCCTTCGCCAAGCATTCCTCACCAGCTGACAATTGCGAATCCATGCAAATCTATCTACTGTAATACTGATATTGTTATTAGTCATATATGATGTTTTTCCAATACTGTATCTATATATGTAATCCTCCGAGAATCTGCACCAAAAGCCCGCTATGCCGCGATGGTACAAGAGGCACCGACCGTCTTCAGTTTGTGAGCATTGATGCAGGAGTTCCATGACTGATGCGTGCAAAAATGGCACGAACAATAGCAGTTCAAAGCCTTCATGGAACAGTTGAAAACCTGCCATCAACAAACAATAATTGAAAACCTACACTAACAATCACAATATAACCGTCTTTCCAATAACAGTTGAAAACCGCGCCATCTTTGGGCCATCCCCTCGCCGTCGACCTTCCTTCAGTGACCCCAGCCCAGAGCCGCTGCACAAAAGGATTCCAGCGTGCCTTCAATTCCCGCTGACCACGCTGTTGAAAGCCACAAGTTATAAAACTGGGTTCTAGACTTCTTGGAGTTCCTTGATTCACCACCTGCTTCCAACCCCTGCAGGGCCCAAGTGACCAGGGCCAAGTCCGCCCGGTCACGCTGGGACTCCGCCAGGGCCTGCCGTGGTGCAATCAAATATGGAAGTCTCCCCTGAAACTGCTCATGACATCTCATACAGTAACTAATCCGGCCGCAGCCGTTGAGAAAATATACATTACGAACACTAAACAATACAGTGCCCAATTGTTTTTGCCAAGGCTAGCTGATCGAACGGTCTTCTACCGGAAGTGGTGTTCTGGATAGTTTGGGAATGTCCTGCAGCCTTGGGCCCTTGACGAACCTAAAGCTTAGACGGGGGCAGTGCATATCAGCTTGTGCACTTTTACTCTTCCAGTAAGCCAAGTGGCATCGAAATGTCAGTGATGACTGGTGCCTGAGCCTGACCGAACCAACAGCAACAAAGACCACCACCACCACCACCGACCCCTTAAACCCACTCTCCAATTCCAATGCCTTTCAGCTCTTTTGCCGGTCGCGTTTTCAGCAGTGGCAAGTTGACAAGCCCGCTCACCTCTCAGAGCTTCTCGAAGCCGTGTTGGCCAGAGCCCTCTTTGGGGCCACGCGGCGCAGGAACTTACTGTTGTTTTCATTTTTCGGCTGGAAGGCGGCAACTGGCGGAGCCGGTGCTGGCGGTAGCAATGTGTGAAGCGCATTGGCCGCCTGAAGCCAATCCAACTGCAATGCTTTTGTTGCAGATGCACGATCTGTGGTTGCCAGGGTCGCCTCCAACCATGCCAAAAACAATGGCCCAAATGCGTCGCTCCCAGGCCATTGGCTCACTTCAGGGTACTTCAAACTATGAAGGGCTTCACCAGAAGGAGGCTTCTTCAGCAGGGTCCTTTGCATCCACTCCGCACAAAGCCAATGAAGCAACTGCCACTGCAGCAGCCGGCGCTAAAGCAGCTGCCCATGGCGCCAAAACAGCAGCGCGGGCTGCTATGCCAGCACCAGCCGTAGCTCCAGCCACTGCTGCGCCGCTGGCGGTCGCTGCAGTGCCCACGGCAGCCGTCCGTTCCTGCAGCTCCAACAGTCAGCGCATATGAGTACAAAGTGCCACCAACAAAAGCACACTGCATGGCTGCTGTGATGCTTCCACTAACAATGTGCTTATCCAATGGGGTATGATGGGGTCATACTGAGGGCTTTGATGCTCACTGCTTCGCAGAGTCTAAATATCAAGCGCCTCCAAAAGATGGCCCCAGACTGATGGGTCTGACTCCAGTGACAGCTTCACCAAAAAAGTGTACAGCTTGCCATATTTCACTTGGAACACACAGAAATCTTGGCGGCATTGCCACAAGCGCATTCAGCTCAATACTTTCGGATTGCCAGACCAGAGTCTTTGAGAGCTTCTGCCCGCTTGAAATATGCAGAGACATCCTGCCCATACCTGATCTTCATCAGTTGAATGGATCTGGATCAACATATTCCCCAGAATACCCTAGGTTTTTCAACAATTGTTCTGATAGTCCTCTGTTTCTTTGACAAGAAGTCATTGAACATGGTACCACAATCACCAAGACCTTTTGAAGAGAAAAACCACAAACGGTGGAAAGAAACTAAACGGAGGACCATTTGAGCCCACCAAAGGCTAAGATCCCAACTGAGAACGCGAGAGATTGGCCAAGAGGGGAGAGCCTCACACCAACAACCCCGATCGCCCGAAAACGCACAGCCTTTTGAAACCTCTGACAATCATTGAATATCACAACCTCTTGGAGAAAATCATAAAAATCAAATTTGTTTTGGAAAGCACTTGTAAAACCAATGATGCACCCAAAATTTCTGGCTGAAAGAAAAATGAAGCTCTTCGGATGTTTGAGGCTCCTGGAAGTATGGGCAGACCTGATTGCACTTCATCGGACGGGGGGTCCTATCGAAACACCTTTGCTGACGCGGAAAGTGGCGTGCAACAAATAGTATGGTTGATAGGTTGTGTTTGTTGATTTGGCTGGGTTTTTTCTTCACAAACGATGTTGTAATGGTGAAAGCAGTGGAGTTATGGTTTCTGGTTTCTTATGTCGATCTGTAACAAACACATGAAAACAAAGCTGAAGGGAACCGCAGCGTTTGGCCAGCCTGCCCCGAAGTAGACCCCGCATCGCGCGGCACGCCCCACCAGGCGCGCAGGCCTCTGCCTGGTGTCGTCCGTGCTGCTCCCGGCGCCGCAAGGTCTCCAAGAGGCCTTCAACGATTGGATGCCACGGGAGGCAAAACACTTCACCGACCGGTGAATGAGCACAACTCGAAGGACTGGAGTTGTTAATCTGCAATCTTGCTAACTCTTGCTAACATCTGCTCGCTCTGCTCACCTACTCTTGCTCAAGTCGAAATGAGCATTGTGCAATCTGCGTCTGCGTCTGATGATCTTTCTGGCATTTTGGGACAAGTGTTCATCTACTCTTGCTAATGGAGGACTTTCACCCTGTACTGCTGCAGTGCGTGTTGGGTCTAAGGATGAGGTATGGTATACATCTTCTACATGTTCCTGCGGTCTGACATGGAAGCCAAAGCAAACCTCGCCATGGCCCTTTTGTTTCACACACAGAGATACAGTACGTCCAACGAGTCCAGGAATGATTCATCATGGCAGCCAGGTGGATGGCCAGGCGTGTGGCTCCTCTGATCCTTCGCTCACCCATCCGGGCAATTAAATCCAATCTTCGTGAGCGGCATCTGCCGCGACCCGCCCGGGAAGAAGCCCGGCGTCTGCGCGTCTGCGCAGCGCGCAATCCGTCCTTTCCGGGCCTTTCTCTGGAAGCAACTGGTCCCGTCGCAGGCGCTGCCTTGGAACCGGTGAGGTGCTCGGTACTCGTCTGAATCCGTCCGAATGGGTCGATCTCATCGATCTCTTCATGCAACGTGCCGAAGTACTCTAACCCTCTCTTTGACTGGTCATATGATGTCGATCCTTCCACCAGAAGTGACACATCAAATGCAACAAGCCTCGCAAACTTGGTTGGACCTTCGTGAGAAGGCCTGGAAGGTAAAATAGAAGTAACAGCCCTGCTTGCCATTATCAACCAGCACGCATCCATTCCAACTTATTTTTGGTGCCTTGCGCGGATGGGCCCAAGCTACTAACCTTTATCCACCTTGGTCCCAGAATACAACTCTCTGCATTCTCTACATGTTGGAAGTGGATGTTGTAAGAAGCGAATGACATGAAACGAAACGAAGTCTTTGCATGTCAGCCCATGCTAAAACCAAAGCATCCATGTGAGCTAAGCAGGCCAGCTGGATCAGGTTTAGTCCAGTCAGGTTCAGGGATGTACAGTCTCCGATGGCGCTGGGCGCGGTTTGATCAGGCAGTTTTGAACCCTCTCCAACGGCAGCCAAGCGTCAGCCACTGCCCAGCAGCGCAATCCAGCTCGCCCAAGTCGGAGATGGCCAAAGTCTAGAGAAACAAACGGAAGGGCAGGCAGGGCACAAAGTCCTTGGCCTACGGCTCTTGGCAATAGTATTTGCCTCTCCAAAACAGGGATCTTCCCCTGCCATGTGGGTCCTACAGGAAGGAGTGTGGGACTTGCGGGTCTTTCCCTTGAACATTTCACTGATGTCCTGGCCGAACTAGGTGATCGTGCCATGGTCAACAATGATGTCTATGTCCAATTTCTCTGTGCTTGCTGGTCAAAGAGCCTGTACAAATGACATGCCCCAAAGGGAATGAATCAATTCAGGCGCATTGAAGTCTTGGACCACGCGCTTTCTGCTTTCATGTCATTTTCCCTTGCGTGTGTGTTCCTCCATCCACCGATTCGGCACTCGTGTGTTCCTCCCCGGCCTCCGGAGGCGCCTTGTCTTCCATCGAAAAGAGAAGCGTCGGCGTCGTTGAATGTCGATACAAACGAGTACTGGTTGGTGGTTTCGCCTCACTTGAAAAATCGTCAGTGGGTTCAATCCTCAAGTCATGGCTGACAATAAGAATATCATAAAATGGTCCCTTTGCACGTTGGTGGAAGTTCGTAGCCAAAGACACGGCGATGAAAACTAAACATTTCTGCACAGCCTAGATGCTGAAACGGTTTCCCGATTCAAGCTTAAGAATGTCTGTTTTGAAATACCTGAAGGTCAGCATGACGTGTCATGGCTGCCGTGATTCAAGCTTATTGGTTGAAGTACCTGAAGGTCTTGAAGGCCTTTCGCTACGTGGTGGACTGGTCAGGCTCCAGGTTTTCACTCATCTCCGTACGTAGCGCCCTTTCTCCTCGTAGCGATGAGCCCCTAGTAGCGTCTTTGCTCCTAGTAGTAAAGCCAGGAGCCCACAGAAACCAAACTTTTGGGGGTAGGACTAGAGGCAGTCCGTGATAGGAAAGCTAGTGCTAGCGTAGTTGCGGCCCATGTACTTCGTATGTCCGACGTCCAAGGACGTCTCATTGCGGGCCTAAAGCTGTCTGAGATTGCCACTACAATGGTTGGGCAGTCCTGTCATGTGCCTAAAGCCAGCTGCAATCGTACCATCCGGTCTCTAAAAAATGGTGAGAGAGAGTTCAATGTCAAATCTTGAATAGCATATCATATCGTACTATTCCACTTCAATGCAATCTCCACTTGAATAATGCCCCAACCAGCTACAATAGACAACAACACCTTGAATGTTTCCCGCTTCAACTGTCTATATACAGTATATCGGTTGTATAGGGAGAGCTTACACTCACATGCCATTCAGAAGGTGAGTAGGGACATTTCAAGCTTTAAGGTCATGACTCAAAGAAACTAACAACCTGTTCAATGGTGTTCGACAAACTTGGACACAACCAGCGCATCTCCACCTGCAATGCAAGGAAAAAGGTACAGTAACAAGCCGGAAAGTATGCAAATACCTAAATTAGCAAACATCAAGTCCAAAAGAACAAGACAGACGAGCGAGGAGCAAGGCATCACCACCAAGTCACCAAGTATATCGGCCTTGCAAACCTTTGGACCATCACAAAAACTCGGATTGGAAGAAATGCTGAAAAACAACATACGGAAAACACTCCAGGACTCCAGAATTCTCTCTCTCAGTGGGTCCACGATGCTGTGTGTGGCTGTGGGAGCCCACTCCAGGACTCCACAACTCCCATCCGGTGACTTGAATCGATCCTTTTTTCCACCAATGGGCGGCGGGGAGGGCAAACACCCGCCCGGAGAGGACGGACTCGGGATGTCCCAGCAGCACAGCTGGGAAGGTAGTGAATGCAATTGCCAAGGCATAAGCAAAATGCCCAGAGGATCCAAGACAAAGTACATCGGTTATACAGTTCTACAATCGATATATATTTTTTGTTTGGCCATTATATTACATCACAACTCGTCATAACGTGTCATAGCTCGTCATATCTCGTATATCATCATGATAATAGGAGTCTTGGCAACTTGGACTCGCTGAGCCACCCGGTCCTAATTCCGAAAAGACTCTTACAACACACGGCCATCTTTGCAGCCAACACCGTGAAACGTTCATCTCTCATGCCTGAGACGGGGTCCTGTCAAAAGTCAGTCTGGTGCTCATGGGCTCATGGTGCTCTGGAACCCTGTTGGAGGCCATCGCTAGTAGGTTGAATCCTTCTCTTCCAACAGTCCATCCATTGCGCTCGCCTCCGACCCTGTCGAAGCGCTGAGTCAATCTCCTTAAGAGTCAATCAACCCAGCCGGAACCTGTCCCCTCTCGCAAATCATTCACAGCAAAGGCAGGACTGGTGGAAATACTCAATCATGCAATTGATCTGGGAGAGCTGACACCAAGAGCTCTCACCAAATTGCACAGCACTCACACTCTCACTCTCTCTCTCTCTCTGTCAGGCACGCATTCGATCCTTGTTCGCCTTGTAATCCCAGCAGTGCACAGCGATGCCCCCCCCCCCCGCCTTGCCCCGAAAATCATTGCCCTCTCCCCCCGAACCACCCACTCGCAGCCTGCACTCCCGTGGTGTTGCAGGACGAGGCATAGTTGGACGCATCGAGGCCCAGGCCTGCGCCCCCTGGGCACGGCGTCGTGGCGTGACGTGGCGGCGCGACCGGTTCTTCGTGTCGTGGCATCCCATTTCTGACCAATCAACACGCTTGAAAGAGCTAGCGGTGTTTCCGAACGAAGAGTCTTTGCAGAGGGAAAGGGATAAGGGAAAAAGAGGGAAGAGGACAAATCAAAGGGAAAGACAAAAGGGAAAGAGGACCAGGAAAATGGTAAGAGAAAAAGGATGGAAAGAAGAAAATGAATGGCAAGGACCATGAAAGAGGATGCCAAAAAAAAATAGCGATTTGGTTGAACAAATATCTTATGTTTACTCATGTTTACTCCATCGGTTCTTTGGGGTGGCAGGGATCGGTGATTGCGAACAGTGCTCATGACTCATCTCCCACACCCCTTGAGGGTGAGCTTGTGCTAGGCTGTCTTCTTCAAGGAATGCCAAGTCAAGGAGTTCCCGCACACTCATGACCTTTAGAGCCACCAACAGGGGTGATATAATTAGTCCCTGCCCTATCCACAAATCCCCAATCCCCCCCCAAAAAATAACACTGGACCTCTTGCACCAGGCAGTCCAATGTCGCATTGAAAAAACACGCCCAGCCTGAGGGGGCTTCGGCGGCGGCGTCACAGGCCCTGAGGACAAAGATGATGAAAGGAAAGGGGCCGGAAAACCTTCAAGTAGACCACATAGTTGAACTGAGTTGAACCAAATTGCCCTCTGCAGCTCTTGTGTCATCACTCGTACTGGCTTCCTCTACCAGGTGATGAAGCATTTGGCAGGCCAGTGGTCAGGACAACATTGCCCATGGCATGGCCTGCCGATGTTCCACTGATTTGCCGGGACACGTGGGAATATCTCCACATCCTGAGAAATGACAAGGCCCAAGCTCAACAAACTGTTGAGGTTTGCCAGCCCCCTAGCGCGTGCAGGAGCGTACCTGCCGGAGCTCCGGATGGCCGTGGTTGGAACAGGAACAGCAAAAACAAAGTGTTCACAGACATGGAAGCACTTAAAAGACTGACAATCTCCTTCAAAACTTGCTGGCTAGGTCATCGAAGGATCTTGTCAATCCCTCCCTTGCTCTCAGCTCGCTCCCTTCCTAAAGAACCTTACAAGAGGTATGGTATGGCCAGAAAAGGGTCGAGCCAGCTGATTCTTGACACTATAAGCGAGTCAACCGAAAGTGTTGTCTTATGTCTCCTTTGATGTTCTTCAAAAAAGGTATATGGCAAAGGCATGGCAAATGCACATGGAAATGATTCTCAATGTGTATCCAAGCAACTTGCTACGAGTAGAATCACCACACCCCTACCAATATACCGTGGAAAAAAGGTCACTAAACAGTTCAAGGAGTGCTTCCCAAAACCTTTTTAAGTAAATGTGAACATTATAACTGTTGACCTATGATTAATAAAGGGACCCGGAATAAAGTTAGCCAATCTGCGCCCTGATTAATAAAGGGACCCGAAATAAAGTTAGCACGTTTTTATGTGTTCTATTTTTATGTTTTTATAAAACATATTTTTGTTTATCGCTGTTATTATTTTTACGTGTCTTTTTAACATTAGTTTTTGTTATTATATTATGACTAGTTTTATGAGTGTTTGAATTACGCTTTATGTGTTTTTTACTGGTTTTGTTTTCTATTGTGTGTTTTTAGGCTATGTTAAAAAAGATTGTTTAAAAAATCCGTTGACAAACCCTTAATAAAGTTTACCCTAAATAAAGCTAAAGAATTTGGTTTACTGAAAAATATTGATTGGGTTTGTGTTCAATTGGTTCTGTTCATTCCTTTGTTAACAGATTGCTTCTTTGGATTCCTTCTCAATTAAATCCTTCATCATCAAACCACAAAACCTTCTGACAACAATTCTTTATACATCCCTTATTTAAATACCATTGAAAATTGATCAAAACCATTCTGGAACAGTTCTCCCCATGAAACCACCAAACCCTAAATAAAGTTTACCCTAGCCCTAAATAAAGCTAAAGAATTTTGTCTACTGAAAAATGTTTCTAGTTCATGTTAATACTAATTGAATTTATATAAGTCCAATTCATTTCTATTTGAACACTAAATCACCTTTATTTTAATATTCATTTTAATAAGGGTCTTATGATTTAAAATTTAAACTATCTTTTCATATCTTTTCCATTTCATGTTAAAATGTGTTTTAGTAAGGAACATTTCATTTTTCCCCACCTGCCAGGTGAGGATTGTTAGATTTTATCACAGTTGTTCTTCCTCCTTCCTTCCTTCCTTCCTTCCTTCCTTCCTTCCTTCCTTCCTTCC